AAAAAGTAAACATAGATTAAAAAATTTACTTTTTTGTCACATTTCTAATAGTTTTTTGGACTACCTCCAACATAAATTGCTGATAAAGGCGACGAGGTGTACTTATGTTATCTCGTGGGATCGCCTCCTCTGGAGAATGACGACTGTAGTTCATCTAGAGGCTCTGGAAGGATGTTCCATCCTAAAATCCTTCTTTATAGTTGATCCCATAAATGTTATATGGGATTTAAGTATGGTGAGATCGGATTTCTCGATTTTGCAGGAATTATTTATAAGTCTAGCTCTAGGTCTACGATCTACCAGAACGAATCTGGACCAATTGCTTTTGCGATAGACTCCACTATTGGTGATAATACCCTGTCCTGGTAAGACTGTGTTGTCATAGCCTCATTTCGCAACACCTCAACCTCTGTTTGAAGGAATTACTTTATAAAGCTAGAAAATACCCCATAATATAATTGAATCCTTCCGAATGGGTAAACCGGAGGATTGTAACGTTCCCCTGATCTTCCGATAACTGTCGAATTATGATGCTTCATACATTTGGATTCATTTGTGAAAAGTGAATTATGACAGTCTTCATAAGTTTTTGAGATTTGCATTGGAGCAAATTGAAGTCTGATAATTTCATAATTTGGAAAAAAAAACATTGGTCTCCGCCGATGCAATCCAAGCTGTATCAATCTTCTTCTAACAGTATGAAGGCCAACGTACATAATTAGAAGCAGAAAACAAATCTTCAGCTCGCTTCGGTAACTGTTGAAACAATTAATTTAATTCCGGAGAATTAAATATCATATTTTCAACGGTTATTGATGATTGACGTCCTCCTCTAGGTGTCTTTCCGAAGAAATCACTATTCTCGTAACGTCTTCAGGCGCGAATTACCACACTTTGTGACGTTCTTAGCCTTGCTGTCACATTTCTCTGGGCATATCAAAAGGATAACTAGCTCGTTTTATGAACGTAGCGCTGAGAGTACAAATATGACAGTAAAGAATGTAGGAAACTACAACCTCAACAAAAATTGGAAACACAGGAGGATCAAATACATTTTAGTATGACTGCTTTGTATATTTATTCACTGTGATATTATTTATTAAATTGTTAATTTTACTGTTTATATATGCATTTATTTATTTACCAAATTAGTAAATATCAGACTATGTATTGTACAAGTCTATTCAATGATTTTAACTCATAATAATTAGTAATTATTTATTAACTTGTTTATTTATTAACTTATTTATGAAATTAGCTAATATTAAAGAAATGTGTTGTTTATTACATATGTAGTCAATGACTTATGATTTATAATTTATAATATATTTAATTATTTGTAACTTCCCTATTTATTAATGTATTCTTTCTGCAAGTGGTTTTTAGTATAATTTTCACCACTGTTCTTATTTTTCTAGGCCAAATCAACAAATATTGTAAATATACTTAAGCCCTCTGCCACAAGGATGTATAATGTCTTAGACATTTCCCCTTGTAGTCACTTTGTACAAAATGTATGTAAAAGTAAAAGTATCTAATAAATAAACTCAAACTCAAACTCTGGGCATCTCAAGCTCTAATGCAGTAAGACATACAGGAGGTTAAGGTAAAAGTTAGACTTTACTGCCTTACGGTGCATGATAAATATTCGTCTATGGTGCAGTTTCCATTACTATCTAAAGCTGTTCGTTAAACATTTTTTTATCAGATCCTAAAGCTTTATTAAAAGCTCCCAACTATATCCTTCCTACCTAGGTCTTCACAGCACCTTACACCGGCTTGTTCCTGCTATTCAAGTCTATACACATGCCACTGAATTTTCAGCGCCCAGTCATCAGCTCAACTATCATTCTAATTACAATTAATTAAGGTTTTTAGTTGAGATGAAAAAAAGCTAATGGCACGAGAGGGATTCGAACCCACGACCTTCGGCTAGAAACGCCGCTGCTCTACCATTTGAGCTATCGTGACCTCGATCCACTCGGACATCAACTCCCCATCTCAACCCCACCTTATGAGTTTTCCCTCCTTTTGCCATTTTTCAACTCAAACTCATAAGGTGGGGTTGAGATAGGGAGTTGATGTCCGAGTGAATCGAGGTCACGATAGCTCAGGTGGTAGAGCAGCGGCGTATCTAGCCGAAGGTCGTGGGTTCGAATCCCTCTCGTGCCATTAGCTTTTTTTCATCTCAACTAAAAACCTTAATTAATTGTAATGTATTAATTGGTCAAGCGGACCACGAAATTAGTGAATATCATTCTAATCCTAACACATCCTTGGTTTAGTAGTTCTGCCGTTAGTTTCTGACATGGTCTTTCGATGAATTTTTTTAGCATGCTTCTATTCTGGTATACGATCCCACTGAACTGAGGGCTTATTCTTATTCCATTGATAATGTATCTAGGTTTTTGGCAGTTTGTTATGCAACAAAATTCATCCCCCCATGCTTCTAATTTTTTGTTACACTTATGGTCTTCCAACTTTAAAAATACAAATGTGGTAGGCTTTTGAAACTTTTCCAAAGAAAAACTTTGGATATATTCCTTCTTCACTAAAAGGGAACTACTATACCATAAAGCGATACAGCAGTACATAAGGAATAAGGACTTACATAGGGATCTTAAAGGTGGCCATTCACGATCACTCCAAATGGAACCGCGCCAAGCAGTACAGCCCCATTTGGAGTGCCTGAAATTTGAGGGGCATTCACGACCGCTCCACAGCCAGTCGCTCCGAACGTCAACCAGTGAATTACCTTCTCAAAATGGATGACGATCTCTTGTGCTACTCTTCTGTTTATTTACATATTAAAAGCAAAAAATCGAAGAGAAAATGGTGTAAGAAGTGGCTCCTGAACAGAAGCCGTAATACCCACATCAATTTGATGAAAGAACTTTACCTTGAACCCGCTGATTAGAGGAACTATTTAAGGATGGATGAAACGTCTTATTTATTCATTATATTTAGTGTTCTATTGACCAAATTACTTCTTTCAATTATTTAATCTTTTTTGTAAGGTTTTGGTTGAAATGAAAAAGCTAGTGCCACGAGCGGAATCTGAATCCATGGCCTTCGGGTAAATACCCCACTGCTCTACCACTTGAGCTATCGTGACTTCGATCCTCTCCGACACCAAAAAATGGCAAAAAGAGAGAAAAGTCGAAAGGTTGTAGGTTGAGATGGGGAGTTGGTGCCCGAGTGGATGGAACTATCGAAGTCAGTATAGCTCAAGTGGTTAGCGCAAAGGCGTATTTAGCCGAATGTCGTGGATTCGAATCCCCTCGTGACACTATTTTTTCATTTCAACCAAAACCTTACAAAAAAAGATTAACTTATTTACATTTACTCCAGCTTGTTACACAGCTTGAAAACAAAAGACAGTCATGAGAGAAATCATCACTACATGAAAGGTTGGCAACCACATTACGATTTCTCGCTACAGGGATGAACCAAAAAGAACTTAAGTTCTCTACTACGATTTTTGATCATTGTTAGGGGTTATCAATACCGCATCTCTCATTGCATTTGTATCCTTTGTTTTGAAAACGTCGACCAACTGGTTGAGAATGAATTTCTTTTATTTCTATCGTGGTAATATAATCATTGTCCACCACTTTCATAAACATGGTACACTTTCATACAATTCAATCACCTCAACAATATAATCTCGATTGGATGTCATTACCAATAAAGAATAAACGTTTTTGACTTTTTGAGAATGTACGACGGAGATGTTTGCTCAGTGACAGAAAGACGGAGACTGCGCCAAAAAAACGAGAGTTTTCCCATTCACGACCAGGCCAGCGCGCCAAAATCCACACCCTCCACGCCAGGTTTTTCCATTCACGAACGCGCCATGCCGTCGTCGCGCCGTAGATTTTTGGAGTGGCGCGATGGAGTTTGGACCGCTCAATATTCGGCACAGCCGGGCACGCCAGTTCAGTTTTGCCATTGACGTGGTTTTTGGAACGGCGTCGCTCCGTTTGGACTGCTTGGAGCGATCGTGAATGGCCACCTGAAGATCCCTGAAATCACGGCGGAAATACAAAAATTTGCCGCCAAACACCAGGCACGAGAATGTGGAAGCGACCAAACTCTTACATAACCGAAACATGGTCAAAAGATTACAAAGAACAAAGCCATATGAAATTGTGTAGTTAAAAATGAATAGTGAATAGTGAAATGTAAATCTTTCTGTACCAATGGGTTTATAAGAATGTAAACATTTATTTATTCTATAATATTATTGTAAAATTAATGGTTGCTCTAATAAGACCAGTTTTAATAAATAAATTTAATTAATAGAAAAAAACTAAAAGGGTTGCCAGTATCTATGGCTGAAACGTCCTACAATCCTGCTATATTTTTTTTTACACATTTTTAGTTTTCCAACTTGAGAAATACAAGTGTTTTTTTATTACTTCTGCGGTAGTGATTTTTAATAAACTGTGGACCTGAAATTTTTCCGAAGCCTCGTAGTACCCTCCATAGGTGACGACTATCTTAGATACGATTGTAAAATTTTATTTAAGAGACCAACGGGACATGTTTATCTTCTATATATAAGTCTAGCGCAAACAATGTTATGTACAAAATAAGCACGAGGTGTCTTATAAATTAACGTTATCGGTCTCTTCGCTGTTGCCAAATGTTTAAAAATTTAACATTTTGATAAATGATAACATTCAAAAAGAAAAACCATATGTAATATTTAAACTGAAAAATGATTATATATTTAATTGGTTTGACTCCTGACCGCGACATCCAGCAGATAGTTAAGCGTTAAACTCTTCTCTATTATTTTTTTTATTTATTTAGTTTATTTCTTAAGATTCTCATTGCGACTAGTGAGCATGTTATCATTCCATTGTCTCATTTGTGCTTGGAAAAAAAACGTCGGATTTCCCTTGTTGACGGATTTGTAAACGTGTCAAGCGCTATTGAGGAAATGCCGAAAGAAAAATGCCTAGAATTTGGCAATTTTCTCTTTTTCCAAAGCCTCGTTCTGGAAGGGAGCCGGGGAACGAGAGAAGTCGAGAACACGGAGGTGGGGAGTTCTCTTCACTTTCTCCAATCCGACAGTCAGTTGGAGTGCGAGTGCTGTGAGTGAATTTATAAAATTTTTAAAAAAATATAAAAGTAAATAAAAATACACGATAACAGACAGATACAAGAGGCAGTCGGGTCAAGGAGAAACTAGGAAAGAGGAAAATGTCCCGGATTCACGTTCTTATAAGGTAATTTGTGTTTTGTTTTTCCATTTTCGTGCGTCTTCAGTTCTCCCGTGGAAAATCTCGCCTAATCAACTAGAAAATTATCTTTTAAAATAAATTTTGTACAAAAACTTGTATTAAATGATTTTTTAGATTTCACAATTTCAGTTAATTATAATCACATTAATATAGGAGTCGTAATAATTTTGTACTTTTAAAAGTCAAAAACAAACAACAACATGCAGGACCTTACAGTAATAAACTAAAGTTATTTTAACCCCCCCCCCCAAAAAAAAAGTGTAAACATACTTAAGTCATGTCAGACATAAACAAATCGCTTATTATTCTGACAGATTAATTAATTAAAAATTGAAACTTTCACAACGAAAACAGGCTTAAAAAACGGTTTAAGCGTAGTAGAATTATATAAATAATTTATGCTCGCCAAATTCAAACTTGGACGTTTGTGTAGTTGATAGATAAAATCTTACCAAAGCTGATGATTGTTGGTTTAGTGAAAAGTCAAAGTACAAAGTAAAACAAGCTATAAATCTATAATAAAATTATTATGATAATAACAGAGATCGTTTAATTTTTTTCCTTGGAGGAGATCAAAAAGATCATTTTTTAAAAATAAACTGTTTTATTTGAAATTGTTTCGTTTCTATTTTTTTACAGTATTATTATACGTTTATATATATTTTTCCTTTCTAACGTTTTTAAAATTAATTTATTCTTTATCCTGCTAGTAATTTTAAACCATTTATGTTTGTACTTTACGTTTTATCGCAACTTGAACAATAAAGATTTTTTTTTAAATTGACCAATTCAAAGTCAATTTGCTCAGGATTGCATAGGTAAACAAAACTGGTTTATTAATTCTTATTATATAACAAATAGAAAATAATCAATACTTTATAAAAATATTTTAAAAAAATAAATGCAATACAATAAAAAATATTTCAAACTTTCTTAGGCAAATATAGAACATTTTCGTTTTATTCACGGCTACTTAACGATGTATTTATTTACATTTATTTTCTATACAACTGTATCAGGTTTAAATGCAAGATTTGTATACAAATCCTTGTATATATTTTTTCTTTCTCACGTTTTTCAAATTAATTTATTCTTTATCCTGCTAGTAATTTTAAACCATTTACGTTCGTACTTTACGGTTTATCGCACTTGAACAATAAGGATTTTTTTTAAATTGACCAATTCGAAGTCAATTTGCTCAGGATTGCATAGGTAAACAAAACTGGTTTATTAATTCTTATTATATAACAAATAGAAAATAATCAATACTTTATAAAAATATTTTAAAAAAATAAATGCAATACAATAAAAAATATTTCAAACTTTCTTAGGCAAATATAGAACATTTTCGTTTTATTCACGGCTACTTAACGATGTATTTATTTACATTTATTTTCTATACAACTGTATCAGGTTTAAATGCAAGATATGTACACAAACAGTTCGTTTTCATGCTTAGTAATTTTCTCCTTGACATCCTGATCATTAATGATTTCTTGCGGATTGGTTAGCATGTCTTGTTTATAAGTTATCCTTTTTTATCAGAAAAAAATATTTATAGAAAAAATATTTAAAACTTTCTTAGGCAAAAATTGAACATTTTCGTCTGATTCACCTGCTACTTAATGATGTATTTTATTACATTTATTTATTTTGTATAGAAGTATATTAGGCTTAAATGCAAGATTTGTATACAACCATCTTTCAAGCTTAGAGAGTATTCCCTCCCCCCAGATATTTAGATCATTAATGATTTTCTTGCGGATTGGGCAGCAATCATCAGCCTGGGCTTTCTTTTACAAACTTCTTCCAGAGAATTTTATGGTGGTGGTCTGAAGTACCACATGCTTCGTGTTCGTAATCGTAAAACGGGCGCCTCCATGCACCGAGGCTTTCCGTTGTAGGTGAAAGTGCAAAAGCGATAAACCTCCGTTGTTGACCCCCTATCATTCTCTCTCTCTCTCTCTCATTCTCTCTTCTCTCTCTCTCTCTCTCTCTCTCTCTCTCTCTCTCTCCTACGCTTCCAGCTTAGCTCTTCGTTTCTTTCCCAATAGGCTCCCTTGGTTTCGTACTTCCAAATGTCAAAATAATCTTTTCCCGCTTAATCAACAAAACATTGTTGTGAAGTGCCTGGGATATTCGGTCTCGCAATGTCAAACTGTGCAGAGGGAAAATAAACGAAGATCGTGCTTTGAAAACGTGAAAAGTATGTTAGTGAAATTTAGTTTTTTGTGTTATTTTTGTTGAGATACGGGACGTGATGAACCAAATACGATAAACATCCAGCTTTGCGTAGTTGACCCCGGCCTATTCTCGGTTGTCTTCTTTGTCAGACTTTCGACATTTTCAGTCGTTGGAATGTTATTGTGTTAACCGTGTCCTTTTGGGTAATGTTTTCGAATTTAATCGGCACCTCTGACAGGTAAAACTACCGCGAATGAGCAGACAAGAATTATAGGAGAGGATAAAAACGTTGAAAATTCTTTGGGTGATTGATCTTTGATAAATCTTTAGTTTGTTGTTCAGTACATTTAAAGGAATGGATTCAAAAAATAAAAATGCAAACGCATGTAAATATTTGGCATTCTTCACTCAATTATTTAGCTTTGTAAAAAGATGAAATTGAAAAAAATTGATAAACTCACGAAATCCATATTAAATAGAGACCAAAGTTTGTAACTTCTGTAGCTCCATTTTTCAGGCTAGTAAATGTAAAACTATTTTCAGAATGAAAATAATCTCAGCTAATTTCGGAAAAACGATTGATCTCTTCACTTAATTCTTTCAATCGTCTCCCAGACCACCAATTTGGTGACGTTTTGGTAGATGTGTAACAAGCGTTCGACAGCATGTAGCACGAGGATCACCAATACAAATTAAAACCATTTTTCCAAACACTTTTTTACTCGATACTTCGTTCCTACCTCACAGGACGATTCTTTCGAGTTTGCTAAGGTCCGACTACAGCCTTGTGGGGGCGGGAGTGTCACAGAGCAGTGTCCTCGAGCCATTCCTGTACCTCCTGTACACCTCAGACATCCCAACTGCACCCTCAACCCTCTTGCATCCTTTGAAGATGAAAAAGCCGTGCTTTCCTCTGATCCCAATCTTCCAATCTTGTAAATTCCTCGAATGAACACTATGCACACGTCCAACGAATAGCCGAATGGAGCAAACGTTGGACGATAAAAATGAACAAAAATACCCTTTTTTTAGACATACTAAATGAATTAATTGAAAAGACAGTGAATTAAGAATAAGTCCCCGGTTCAATTTTTTTTATACCAGGACAGAGGCATGCGAATAAGTTCATCGAAGGAACATCTCAGAAACTAATGGAAGAACTACTAAACCTATAAGTAGAATTAAAGTCGGTCTGCTACTTGACACCACAGACTTCGGAGGCATATACGTAGATCTCCGAACAGCAGAAACAAGCGTGTGCAAAGTCCAAGGAAGAGGAAGAGACAGCGGAGCATGTCCTTTGTTGGTGATGACCTATGGAGGCTGACAAACTACTCCTTGGAAAAGAAATGCATAGGTCTGAAGGTTGAGTGAGCTCTTAATTTTGGATCTGATAAAAAGCCTTAAGTTTAACGAAGAGCATTAGAAAATAATGGATATTAGACCAATTGACCAATAGTTCTCATGGTCCGTAAAGTAGAGTCTCCTTTTAACCTTCACCTCAACCTCCTGTAAGACAGGAATACTTTTTATCCAATTTTACCCACAATGTTGTAGACGGTCCGAAACTATCCAGTAACTCAAACGGAAACGGGAAAACAGGCCTACTGGAAAAATGAGAGGAAAAGCTGTACCAATGATTTAATTTATATTTCTCTATCGAAGATTTTTTTTTCATTGTTATAAGCTGTACCAAAGATTTATTGGTCTAATAGTAAAATAGAAAAGGTTTTGTGATAGAGACAAAATTAAATTTTTTGACACATAATTTATATTTCTCTATCCAAGATTTTTTTTCATTGTTATAAGCTGTACCAAAGATTTATTGGTCTAATAGTAAAGTAGAAAAGGTTTTGTGATAGAGACAAAATTAATTTTTTTGGCACATAATTTATATTTCTCTATCCAAGTTTTTTTTTTCATTGTTATAGTATGTTGCTTCCTAAAAACAGTTATATTTACGAAAAAAACCATATTGACCCGGAAAGTACCAAACCGTCAAAGCTTTGTAGAGATGAACAATTTTTAACATTATGCCTTTTTCTCCTGCTCTGGATTAGTTTTATTATTTTTTTAGGTTATTTTATTTTTGCTTTTAAATTTGGTGTTCGGTAAAAGTGCTAGAACCGACCAAACAGAAAGCTATCACAGTTTTGCAGATGTGTCCAATTTTTACTGTCCTGACATTTTCTTCGGCTGTTGATTAGTTTTATTAATTTTTGTTCCTTTTGTATTTGGTTATGTTTTTCCTATATAGGGCATGTTGTTCTATAAAAAGCTATATTTAGCCGCAAGAGCGAGAACAAGTGAACCAGAAACGATCCGGCTTGATATAGTTGACGTTATATATATTTTTAATCTTAATCCAAAAATCAACGTTATCGCTGATTAGTTAGAATTTACAGTCTCAACCTCCGCCAGGAATCGTTAACGACGACGATTTACCAAATAACAGCAAAACTTGAGCAATTATAACTGGCGCCATTTTGAAAAGGAGTTCACAATTAACAAAACTAAAAGTGAGTCTGTCGCCGTTGCACCATTCGTAAAGGCCTTCGTCCGACCCCGACAGAACGATCTACACCGACACGAAAATTATCCGCGGCTTACTTAACTCCGAGTTAATTCGTGCATAACAAAAGTTCGTGAGCGACTTGGCCGTCCTGAACGGTCACCCGGAGACAAAAACATCGAAATTCTCTCGGGTTAACGCGAGGCCTGACTTTGTAGGACCATTGCACTTTCATTTTTAATCAATCGGGTTTTGTTGTTTTTGTAACATGGGACAACCTTTGATATCG